TATATTTATTCATATAAAAATATTAAAGAGATGAAACTTTTGATGAAATTACAATTTTTCAAAAAAGAGTTTAGTCAAGTATCACTAATCTTAGGTGATACTTTATTTGTTATAAACTATCCTATAACCTTGAATGAAATAAATCAAGCACGTCAAAAATTTTGTTCATATCAGTTATCTAATAAATGCATACCTGCAGATAGGAATAATAAAATAATTATAGAAAATTTATATGAATTATATTTAATAAGAAATAAGTTGAATAGTACCAAGTATTTCAGAATTGGTTGTAACAAAAAAGTAATATTATTGAAATATATGCTCATTTTAACAAAATATATGATTTGAATTATGAATTTCAAGAAAGAGAGTTGCATGCATAGCATATATTACTTTGTGCTATAGGATACACAAAATTACTCCATATAATAAAGATGTTTCTTGCGTAAGTATAAATAATATATTTTTAATATTATCAATATTTGTATTAAAAAATTTATAAAATTAATAATACTTTATTTGTAAAACAATTGCCAAATTATATGCAGATGGATTTTTGAATATAATTTCACCAACTCAAACATTTTGGAATTGTTTTCATAATAGCTATAATGCAAATTCTAAAGAAATAGATGGCAAAACATGTATATTATCAATAATTGCAGAAAAATTTACTTATAAAGAAATAATTGAAGAATTGGAGGTAATGTAAAATTTTTGATATTATAAAAATATAATGTATATAATTATTTATTTACTACTAATTATATATTGTTAGGTTTCACCTAATTCAATTAATATAGCATGAAAATATTCTAGAATTAATGGATCTGGCTGTCTTGCATTAGAAAAACCAGTTATTGTTCATTCAAAAATGTCTGAAGTTAAAGAAAAAGAATTTCAATTATTTTTTGCAGATAAAGCAAATGTAAATATGAGCTCTTATAAAATAGATGCAAAAATACAATTACCAGTATTTTACTTAAAAGATCAAAAAAGTGCTTTTGGAAAAAGTTTTCTGCCACTTATCCTGATGGTATGAAACGCACTTCTTTCATATTTCATTTGCAAAACAGTCATTTTAAATATAGAGAAGATTTAGGAGGATTATGTATAACATGTAATGATTATGATTATCAACCTTTTGAAAATTTGATTGAATTGATAACTATAAATTTTTCCAATAGAATTCAAAAGGTTAGTATTATTAAAATTTTTATTATTTTTTATTAATTTAATTATACTTACCTATATATATAATTTTCTTTTATAGGATCGGTTAATTCATAAATTAGAATATTTGCGCCATACCTTAAAACAAAATTATGAAAGAGAATTATTTGTAAATGAAAATAGTACAACCGATCACACAGATTATATTAATCATTGTTTATTCTTTGCATTTAGAGAATGTATGCAACAGCATTTTTCACGGTGTCAAGAGTGTGATAAAATTTTTATTATATTTAAGGAACTTGCTGACCAACTTGATGCTATTCATCATCCTAAACTCTCAGAATATCAAGAACAACTGATATGCTATTTAGCACATCAAACTCGTAAGGCATATCTAAATGCTCAATTTAACTCTATTTTATATGAGTTAGATGATAATGGAGCTATTATTGTGGTCGATTATAAAATGCAAATCTTACCTGCAACAGCTCGAGAAACAAAAAGTAAATTCTTTGGAAAACGTATCCTTCATAAAACTTTGTATTTCAAAAAAACAAAAATAATTATGAAGAATTAGACATTAAAGCTTATGATCATTGGAGTTCTGATACCAAGCAAGATGCCTGGTTCATGGCATCATGTTTTGAATCAGTATTTATAACAATGGATTCTAAGCCTCTTTGGGTTAAAATTATTTCAGATAATAGAGGGCATTATCACAACTCGGAACTAATGACAATTATAAGTCACTGGTACGATTGGTATAATATAGAAGTACGCGGATGGATTTTTCTTGAACCAGGGAACTGTTGATTCTCATCATGCAACGGTAAATAAATATTTAGTTATTTTTTTTTTTAAAAAAATCTATTCTAATTTTAAATCAAATAATTGTAGATTGCACATGCTATCAAAAGGTATATTAGAATCGGGTTTAATCTTACTGAAGGAGAAAATATTAAAACGGCACTTCAAGGTCTAAGTGGAACATTATTATCACATATAGAACCAAATCGGAGTATAGAGACAACAGATCAAGCAAATTTGGGGTAAGTATATTTAATTCAAATAATAGATTTATAGAATATAGAACAATAGATTTACAGAATAGAACAGATTTATAGAATAGTAAAAGATAATGTAAATTTATTTATTAAGAAAAAAAATGGCAAATAATGATAAAAAAAATACAATAAGTCATAGAAAGTAGAGAATTAAAAAAAAAAAAATAAAACAAAAATAAGGTTCAAAAAAAAAAATTTGTAAGACGCTAAAAAAAATAAATAAACAATTCAATATGTATATTCGTGATCATAATAGGAATAATCAAAAACCAAAAAACACCAATGAAAAAAAATCTAAAACCATACCTGGCATCTCGAAGTGGTTTGAGTGGAATTTGGATATAATCGCGCACGATCCCTTCCCCATTCATAGTATTATTTCATTTCCTTTCAGAACAATTAACATTTGTTAAAAAAATGAACAATATTTTAGTAACAATAAAAAAAGGGAACTTTAAAAATAAAATATAATTGTTCCAAATGTGTAGAATAAAATAACGAATTTAATTAAATATAGAAAAGCAAAGATTATTTAATTTAACAAGGCTATTTTCAAAAAGTCACGGGACTACCGATTTTTTTTCCGATAAACTTTTTAATATGGTACATTTAGATCATCTTTTAAAATGTCATGTGTAGTTAATTCTTTATTTAATGTTTTTTTTATTGTATGATTGTGCAATTCCACACAATCATTCAATAAATAAATATTGTATTACATTGTATTGGCTTATTTTATCATATATGATCATACACTCTGTAATTTTAAACAAAGGCTACCCCTGATAAGCTTGGCATCGGAAAATTTTCGATGATTGAGTAATCTCTTCATATTTAAAATCTGTGGCTGATGTAGTTTAACGTATTTACTATGAAATTACTTTTTTGATCATTGAAGTGTTTACGTGTTTTTTTTATAAAATTTATTTTGAAATTTTAATCACATATTCTTACAAAGAACGATGCAATATAACATAATATTATATAAAATACAACTATGCAAGTTGAACTGACGATCTATTAATTTTTTATTATGATTTCAAGGAACGAACTCAACGACGACATCAATTGATTAATCAATACAATCATATTTAATTTTGAACTTCACTGTGTATTGTGCCATAAGAAATACGCCAAACTTTAGTTTTCGTTTTAAAAATGATATTGTTTCTATAATCTTTTCCCATGGTCATTTTTCGTAGTAATGGTCATTGACTAGCCAATCATCTACTAGTTACACTACCACAAAAATGTTAAAACATTAAACAAAAGTTTGATTGGGCGTATTTAAACTCTAAAAAATCGGATAACCTTTTTAATCATTGGTTTGATGCACAATTTTAGTAATTGATTTCTCCACATAATGGCCTTATTCATCATATGTTTTGAAATAATTGGGTGGTCAATGAGAGAAAATAAAATTGTAACTTACCCGATTTGATCCATTCATATATACATATGAATGTAAAGGATATAGAGAGAGATATATATATATACACGCGCACCACCCAAAAACACCACATCCTAAATCCAAAATTAATTAATGATGAGCGAACAAGACATCAAATCTAACGTAATGGATAGTATTTCCAGGTTTACGGATCTCATTAAGGCCATTCGTAGACCTCCTCCACCTGAACAAGGTGATGGTGTATTAGATAAACCTCTCACTAGTTCAGAAGTTAGCGGCAACCTCATCAAGGATATTGAAGCCTTGGGACTCAAAGAATCCGTCGAAGATATCGTTTTTACCATCAAATTGCTTGCCTTGGGTACTAAACCGTGGGATGATTCCCAATTCCAGGTAATGTAAATTTTACCTTCTTGAATTCAAAGCAAGTTACATTCCCCCTCATCACTCTACCTTTTTAATTATAGTTGGAAACGATAGTGCGGATTATGTCAAAACTTCCATCAAACAGTAATCTCTTGCGTGAAGTAGAGAAACTTTTAATATCGGCTTTATGGTCAGATATTTCCAAACCACCGAATATGTGGGCAAATGATTTTTATCGTTCAGCAGATGGTTCAAACTATTCACGCGTATACCCTGGGATTGGAAAATCCTATTCAAATTATGCAAGAAATGTTCGTATCGATCGCCCACCGCTTTTGAACGCTCCCGATCCGGAAACTTTATTTGATACTTTAATGGTTCGAAAAGAATTCAAACCTCATCCTTCATCAATTAGTTCAATGTTATTTTACCTGGCAACTATTATCACACACGATCTCTTTGATTCTTCACCGAATGAACCACACATTAATCAAACATCATCTTACTTGGACTTGACACCTCTTTATGGTAGAAACTTGAAAGAGCAAATGAGCGTCAGACAGGGACGCCTTGGTCTTTTAAAACCTGATACTTTTGCTGACCGGAGAATCATTATACAACCTCCCGGTGTTTGCTGTTTATTGATTCTATTCTCGCGTAATCACAACTATATAGCTAAACGTCTCTTACAAATTAACGAAAATGGACGATTCAGTGTTAAAGATTCAAACGACCCAGAGGAACTTAAAATTCAAGATGAAAATCTATTCCAAACAGCAAGATTGGTCAATGGCGGCCTCTATCTCCATACCATTCTTCATGATTACTTGCATACTATCCTTGGTCTTAATAAGACTAATTCCGAATGGTATCTCGATCCCACTAAAAATTTTCCAAAGGACACCTTAACTAACCCAACTCCAACTGGCATGGGTAATCAGATATCTCTTGAATTTAATTACATCTACAGATGGCACCCAGCAATCTCCAAAGATGATGAAAAATGGCTTGATGACCAGTTTAAAAGGATATTGGGTACAGATTACCCTAAGGAAGGAGAAGAGGTTGGATAATTTACTTTGACTTTTGATGCAAAAAAAAAGATGGAGTGGAAATGGTGGCTAATTATTTTCTTGGTTACGTTTACATAGATAACGGTTCCGGTATTTCAAAAGAGATTGAAGGAATGGCGTGAAACGGTACCATCAGAACCGGAAAAACGAACCTTTGGAGGTTTGGAACGCATTAAAGAAGGTGAACTTAAAGGCACTTTTCGTGATACTGATCTAGTCAAGGAATTGGTACATGCCACAGATCAAGTAGCAGGTGAGAATCTGTTTTATATCATTTGTATTATCTATACAATTTCATATGCATTCTGGTGTTCTCATCATAATCATAATCATCATCATCATCATCATTTGTTTTTTTTTTAAAAAAAAATAAATAAAAGGTTCATTTGGAGCTAATGGAGTTCCACGAATACTTCGTGTAATTGAAATCCTTGGAATTAAGTCAGCTCGTAAAATGGGTGTTTGTAGTTTAAACGAATTACGTCGTTTCCTCAATTTGGAACCTTACAAATCTTTTGAAGACATGAACCCCGATGAAGAAGTTGCCAAAAGTCTTCGCTTACTATATGGTCATGTAGATAATGTAGAATTATACCCTGGTGTCATTGTCGAAAAGACAAAACCGCCAATGATAGGATCTGGAATCTCTATAAATTATACCATCAGTCGAACGATTCTATCGGATGCTGTGAACCTCGTCCGTAATGATCGTTTCAATACAGACGAGCTGAATCCACATAACTTGACCAATTGGGGTTACAATGAAATACAGTCTGATCCGAAAATTTCTGAAGGAAATCTCCTATATAGGCTCCTTTTGCGTAACACTCAAGGATGTTATAAATCGAATTCTGTTTATGCAATGTTCCCATTCGTCGTTCCGGCCAAAACCAAAGAATATCTTGAAAACAAAGGAACTGTTGATCAATATGACTTTAGCATACCGGCTGTTACCGAACAAAAACAACAAAAGACTCATGTTGTGCGCAGTTATCGTGCATGTCACGAAATCCTTTCAAACAAGGATGCATTTAACGTGGTCTATGACCCAGTGATGAAATTTCTTATGCGTGATGTTGGGTACTTCCTTGGTTTCGATGATACAAATGCTCATGACCGAGATCGATCTCGTTTGGACAAAGCCTTTTATCCTAAGGACCATGACAAGTTTTTCTCGGGCATCAAACAATTCTTCTTGAAAACCACACAAAACTTGATTGATAAAAAGAAGATAACATTCGATGGTAAAACTTACCAGATTAATGCGGTCCGCGATGTTTGCAACCTAGCACCCGTACATTTTGTATCAGAATACTTTGGTGTTCCTTTGAAAATTCAAGAATCACCTCACGGCGTCTACACAGAACAAGAAGTTTATTTCCAACTTACCATTATATTTATGTATATCTTCGTCGATACTGATCCTGCAGATAGTTTCAAACTCTCACAAACTGCCAAGAACGTCTCGGAGCATTTGCATGATGTCATGCAAAGAATTGTCGAAATAGTTAGCGGTGAATCAACATTATTTGAAAAAGTCGCCGATTCTCTTATCGGTGCTGATGTGAAAGTGTCCCCTCAAGCCGAACAGTTGATTAAAATTTTAATGAGTCAATACAAAGACTCAAACTTAGCTACTTGGAATATCATCGGTACAATTTCCGGTGCTGTCGCAATTATGGGTGAAGCGACATCTAAGGTTGTTGATTTCTACTTGCGTCCGGAAAACAAGTCACATTTGGAAGAGATTCGAAAATTAGCTGAAAAGACTGACGAAGAGTCAGAAAATTTGATACTTGGATACGTTCTTGAAGCGTTACGATTTAATCCAAGCATTCCTGGCCTCTTCCGCCGTGCTACCGAATCTATCAGCGTTGATAACGGATCCGAGAAATTCAACAAAGATGATAGAATATTCCTTTCTTTAAGTTCAGCTCATATGGATCCCTCAGTCTTCCCAGAGCCAGACAAGATTAACCCACGTCGTCCATCTGATTTATATTTAATGTTTGGATACGGCTTCCATACATGTTTTGCGAAACCAGTCAACTTTATTGCCCTTCCGACAATTGTCAAGACCATTCTAAAGCTCAAAAACCTTCAACGCGCTTCTGGCAGAGCTGGTCAGATCAATCAAATTAAAGATGCTGCATCTGATTATGTTTCTTCTCAGGGCACCATTTTTTCATTCCCAACTGATATGTTACTTAACTTTACAGACTGAAACTTTTAATTTCTTAACAACGTAATAAACGATTTTTAGTAATAATTATATTAATATTGTATTTTAACTAAATTAAACAATAAAACATATATTATTTTACGAAAAAGACTTTATGATTGTCCCGTAATTATTAATATTTTCTTTGCGTGGCTGGACAATCCTAAAAGTTGAAAGCTATAAAAACCTATGTTAAAGAGATTGAAAGTATAGAATGGAGTTTAACCTGTTTATCAAGACTTGATTTTGAAAATCAAGATGAGCAATTTTATTGCGTCAAAAGAAACGTTCAGTTGATTACGACTTTCTTGAATAACAAGAAAAGCGAAAGATTTATATGGAACATAAAAAGCGGAAAATTCGATTGCAATTCTTCTATAATCTAATACATCTACATGCCTTGTTGAACGTCGACACATTGGATTGTTGAACACGAAGGAAATAAAACGATTTGATGATTAAAATTCTAGCTCACTTTTAAAAGTTTTCACACACAAGAACCAAGTTTATTTTTTTTTTTTGAAAATTCGTGATTATCGAAGTAAAGTTTGATTGAATTATTTAAGTATGATATCAAGAATAATAATAGCATTACGGCCCAAAAATCCTTAACCGGTTAATTAACCGGTTAAATTTAAACTCAGGCCGGCACTATAAATTTGGGCAAAACTAGCGAAATTTTGTAATTGCAAAAAAATTTTAATTCTGCCCGAAAATTAAATTTCGGCCAGAGTTAACATTAGTTATTTTAACCGGTTAAAAAAAAATCTTTAACCGATTAACAAGATAAATGTCTTAACCGGTTAATTTACCGGTTAAAAATTAATCAGTTCCGACCTCTACATTACTATTATTTTCAAAGGGTCTGTGACACAAAAGTATTGTGAGCTTCTGGGTAACTTTTATCCAGATCCTGTGTTACATGAGCAACATATTTTTATCACACGTGATTTTACTGCAGTCACGAATAAAAAATAAATTTCTAAGTTGGAATTTACTGCATCTATTTGCGATAGCCAATCAGAAATTTTTTGATCTTCTGTGTTGAGCTGCTTTGACCAATCAGATTGTTGCAAAATTAACGCATTCCTATTTTAAGGAGATAACGGATTTTCTCATGGTCACGTGACTACGGATATGAATTGTATCTGAATTGTGGTTGATTTTAAGCTGAATTGTAGTGAATTTAGGTGTTGAATTAGGTTGATTTTTAGTTGAATTGTATCTGAATTGTGGCTGAATTTACATTTGATTCTTATGTCAAATTGTGTCTGAATTGTGTTTGAATTATTATGTTTGAATTGGTTTTTGATGCTAAATTATGCCAATAGGAATTAAACCAAATTTATTACAATTTGATCATAATTCAGACATAATTCAGCATAAATTCAGACAATTCGAACATTCGATTGTTAGCTAAATTGTATTATTTATATTACTGATATTAAAATCACATTTGCAATTAGTATGTATAAGATATTTTTAGATCCTTTTAACCAAAATATAAAAATTTCCAAAAATCTTATGAAACTAAAAGTTTTACAAAATATGATAAGTTTCATAAACTTCATAAACATGCATAAAATTTAATGCATTATTTATTTATTATTATTATATTATTTAGCATAGAACTGAAATTGAAATTCTGATGAAGATGATGATGATTCTTCTGATAAAATAGAGATAGAGGAAGAAGAAAGAGAAGAAAGAATAGATGAAATAGTAGAAAATAGTGATGAATAAAGTGAATTGAATAGAAACGAGATGAATAATGATGATAAATAACTACAGTGATGGTTATTAAAAAAATTTGTCAATTTTTTTTTCTTTATATATAATTAGTATAATTTTGCGTTTAAATATATAAATAAGGGATTTTTTTTTATATTTTATATATTTAAAGTAATTTCAGATTTTAAAAATGACCAATCAAAATTAAATGTGATCATATAATAATATATATAAAATAAAATAAAATAAATGAAAAAAAACTCTTTCTCCTTTTCAACATATCATCTAAAAGAAAGAACTTCAAATAACGAGATCGCTCAGTGTCTTCACATATTAACAAAAATATTTCAAACAGTTTGAACAAAAAAATCAACCCAACGCAAACTAAAGAAAGTACTTCAACACTAAGTAACTCAACAATAGTTGTACCTTCAGAAACTATAGAAGTCGACCCAACACCTTTAGAAAAAGGGAAAAACAAAAAGGATGATATTATCCTAACATCTCTTGATGTTAATGAAGCATATGACCTTTCTGAAAACTTTCTTGATGGTGTTTACAAGTCTTCACAAGTTTTTGACAGATCTAAGCCCACTTATTACACTTTTTTTCCTCTAAATAATATTCCTGGAAATTTATCCCAACAAAAAATCTCCTTTATTATTGACCTGCTTTTCGACACATACGATTCGTTCACGAACGCAGTTGCTACTAAATACCCTGCGAACCAATTAGAACATATTATTAAAATATCATTCTGCAACAAAGAACATAGGGATTATACATACACTGTGATTTACCTGGAATAGACAACTGCATGTTTTTACCCTGTGAAATTATCACACAACATCTATATATTCTGAATCAATCAATTAAAGTTATACTTGACGCCACTGAACATAGAATTAAAATAGTTTTCACTAAATTTAAAAAAATCGTCCGTTTCAATATAAAAACTAAAAATCTTTGGCAACAGGCCACAATTATATTTAGTAGTGATATAAACTTCAAGAACTTAAAAAATAAATACAGGATATTTATTCTTAATGATATGGTACGATATCATATGAGTGACTTAACTCATGGTGAAGTTCTTGCAAAATTGAAATTTCAGTCAAGCTTGCAGGTTTCCCCCATTTCACTACAGGCAAACAACTCAAAGATATTGGATATATGGTTAACGCTAACTCTTGGATTATTCCTAAAGCAAGGTCTAACTACTATAATCTCCAATATGCCTTCTTTTACTTTGAATCAGATGATGATATAGAAGCTGCGATCAGCAATGAAAATTTTATGATCAATAAGAAACACGTGATACCCAATATCAAACTTTGTGCCATTTGCTCTTCTCCTAACTATAAAGTTAATAATTGTCTCAGGAAATGCAAATCACCTTCTGATCATAATACGCAGCAACTTTACCAATATTTTCAACCTGCTCAATATAGTAACTATAAAGCATCTCTGAAAATTAAAGGTGCAATCAGTCCTAATGTAACATTTATTCACGTGATAAAGGCAATGACTCTCTATCTAATAGGAAGGACCAATATTAACAAGGACTTGCTAAACCTCTATCCTCTAATATACAAAATTTGGATAAGAAAGATTCATCTGGTCTACCACCTTCATCATGGTCTGATGTATTCACAAGAATTTATATGGAACATCTTACAAAAATACAAACACTTTTATACATTCTATAACTATTGATAATAGTACATAAATAACGAGGAGGATTTTAAAACTTATGTCAGATAACAGTTGCTAGCTCTCAATGATAATAAGTGCTAGTTAATTAAAAACCTAAACTTCACCATCATGAGAGTTAAAGCAGTAGAAAATTCTTTGCAATTCAAAGTAGTCACTCCTCTTGAAGCTGATATCAAAAATCAAGATCCTGAAACTATGGACTTTGATGAAGTTGAACCATCTATCGACACATCATCATCTATCATTATGCAATAACGAAAACAATTGAAGGCCTTAGAAACCTCAACGAAATGCATCAACATAGACTGAAATTCTTCACAACCACAGTAAATACTTTGGTCAAGTCATGTGATATCTTTCAATCATTTCTTATTCATAATGACTTACTTCTTAAGAACTTAGCTAACACAATATTTCCACTTGAAAATGCTTTCGATAGTAATATCAGGAACATTCTCAAGGAACTTCTAATCTTTTAAAACCCTTTTTATAAATACTGTCCCTATAGATAATATTGCATAAGATGCACAACTTACTTCACTACTACTTCCACTTTATCCACTTCACTTATTTCATTTGCTTCTCATAATATTCGATCTTTTACTAACATCGCTAAATAAAACTCACTTATGGCATTATATGCTTCTCTCAATTTAGATGTCATTGGACTTCAAGAAACCAACTTCTCTGCAAATTCAATTCAACCTTTTAACTGTACATTTTCATCAAAATTCACTGGTTTCTTCAGATTACCAGCAGACTCTCATTATCAAAAAACTGGTTTTGGTGTAGGCTTATTGATTCGGCTATTTTTGATAAATCACATCTTTCACCATAAATCCAAACACAATAGAATCATCTTAGTGGACCTACAATTTGCCAATAAACAGAAACTAAGAATTTATCAACTGCTATCTTTCACATGGCAACCTTAACCTTAAAAACAAATATAAATAGATTTCATGAAATTTGTGAGAGAAGGCTATTCAAATAATTTTCATCTGAAGACTTCAATACTGATATGAATAATTCTAGGCTACACTCGCAAGATAGAAACTTTTTTTCTACTCTTTCCAACTTCAACTTATTTGACACATTCTCAGTTAAACATGATCAACAAAGAGTTAATTATCATACTCACCAAAGTCCACTTTCAATATCATGTATTAACTACATTTGATTCTCAGTTAAAGTTATTTCTAATCTTATAAGTTGTGATGTTGGGGATGTTACCCCTATACTATCTGACTATTTAATTGTCATTCTTAGTATTGAAAACCTTTTAGACATAAAAAATAATAAAAGAAATATTCCAATAAAAAAACATTTGATTATAACAAGATGTCTGAAGAAAATGGGAAGCCTTCGGTTATAAAGTTAACACTTTAGTCAAAGAATGCTACTTGAAATGTCTCACCAATACCACTATCTTCAACCAAAACAAGCTGAATCATTTTTAGGACTTATTACAAGAATGCATCATTAAAGCAGCAGATACTTCAATTCCTTCTCATAATTCAAAAAGGCATCACACCTACCACTCTTATCTAAATTATATAAGAAATGAAATTTCTTTACAAAATCAAAAAATTGGTTAAAAATATTTTGGTTACTTCACTAGTTCCTGTTCAATGGTCAACATCAATTAAAGAATTTTATGCATTTCATAATGAGTTCAACATAACATATGTGTCGCTACCTTCAGATCTACCATTCATAATCACGCAATGAATACGACTTTTTATTGATCTGTTGCTTAATTGCATTCTTATTAAAACTAAGCTATACAAACAAGAATTTAAATTAAAATCAATTTAGCTTGCAATTGAAAAGAGATTGGAAAACTATCAACTTTCTTCTGCTAAGATGACTGACTTCTTGCTGAACCACTATAAACGAACAATTGTTATTGATCATTACATAAATAATGCCTCTTTATTACGTGATTTATTAATGGATAAAACAGATATTAAAAATGAAGTGGCTAGATACTTTCAAATAGGTGTGGGCACTTCTCATGAAAATGCTTTACTAGATGATAATTGACTTTCCTTTTATCAATTATTAGAGAATATCAATGATACAATTTATAAAGATATAATAGACCTTCCTACAGCAGATGAATGGTATGATCTCATTGAACACCTCCCAAATGGCAAAGCTCTAGGTCCATCAAAAGTTTCTAATGACATACTTAAACATCTTAGCCTAGTAACAAAAAAGATATTTTGGTATATCATATGTAAATGTTTATCTATTTCATCAATATTCTATCATTGGAATCATGCTTTTGTGTATCCGATCTCAAATCCAAATATGGGAATATAACCTAAACAACACTTGACCTATAATGTTACTTGAGTGTTCTCGTAAAGCACTTATCAAATTTCTTAATTGATGACTATTAATGATTTTAGTACAACACAATATTTGAAAGGCCTAAACTTCGCTGGTCTACCATTTAAATCAACTTTTGAACTATTACATATTATAGACAATATCAAATATGACATTACCTATAATAAGAAAGACCTCTGGATCCTTTTACAAGTTATGTCTAAGGCATACAATTAGTTAATATTTTTATGTTCATTAGAGCTTCAGAAAGATTACGCATCCCTTTTAACTTCCTTCAATTTATTCTTAAAATTTTTGGTAATTGACACAACCAAATATTCATCGCATTTGGAAATACAGACTTTATAGAATCTAAAACTCCTCACATGGATATACTTTGTCTCATATATGAAAACCAAATGTTTTAATCAATGAAACTGAAACAACTACTATCAAGACATCAATACTTGCATATATAAATGATACTCTTTAAATTGCAAGATCCTAGGATGATCTTACTGATATCATTAACGTCGCTGAGAATTTCTATAAATTGAATCACATTAAAGTTAACTGAGATAAATCAGTTCTTTTGATAAATAACAAAAAGAAAATTAATAATATTATTATTCGATTATTTACCTACAATATAAATGGTCAGCCTACTAATATTGAACCATTACCAATCAATGATTCAACTTGATATCTAGGGGTTTGGATCTCTTTAGGTCGTAATAAGACCTTTACCATAAACATGCTAAAAAATGAAATCAAAAACGCTATTACAATTATGTACAAAAAGAAAATGACTGACAAGCCCTACTCAGATACTAAGGATGCCCTAAATACTGGAGTAAGAAATGTAAAAGAAAGCATAAAAAAGACGTAAAAAAGGATTTAGTATTGTATCTTTTTGTTCTTATGGTTAATATATTCTTTTTTTAGCTTTTAGACAGTGTGTTCTGACTTATACCCATTTCTAATCCATTTGGAAAATTATAAATGGGTTGATTGGTACTGGAATTGTCATCAACCCCAGCTTCTCCCACTGGTATAACCACCAAAATGAGAGGATTCTCTTTAATGCCTTTGAATACAGTTTCTGTTCAGAACCTGATATTTCGCAAGAAATGATGATTTACTGCGAGGATGTTATCAAAATCTGAGACGAATTTTTTAGCCGAAATCTACAGCATGGCAGACATTTGTATGATTGGTCAATTTTTATGTAGATCATTTCCTAATTATCAAGAGATGATTAATTTTGATTGGCTCAAATTTTATTATTAAATTAAATAAGATTTTTTTAAATAGATTATATTTTTAGTTATTATTAAATATATCAATAATAAATTACTAATTATATATATTTATTATTTTGAAATTAAT